GTTGATTAATAAGCATATAATTTGTAAATTATGCACATTTTTTACATAATAAATGCACATATAGCTTTAAAGTTATGCATATTTAATCTTACTCTAGCTTGGATATAAATCACATGTATTCTTACTATGCATATTGTCCAGGACATTATCACAGTCATGTAAATCCTTTGAAATATGAGAGGAAAAAAAAAAGGATAGAGTAAGAGATAAATAAGGAGGAGAGTGAAGGAGTTGAGACAGGGAGGAGAGGGAGAGATATGGGGATTTTTTTTTTTTTTTTTCGGAATTCAGAGAAAAAAAAAAGGGAAGTAGATAATTGAGGAGAGTATGAGATTAGATCATTCTATATATATATAGTGTTAGCTGTGATATATATTAAAGCTCAAATGAGAATCTCAGTCCAACTCTCTTGTGGAAGTTCTTGCTTTGGATGAGTTCAATGAGCATACTCCCAGTTTAATGTTCCAGCAACCAACATCACATCAGCAAGCCCATCTTGTAACTTTAATCAATCCCTAGGAGCTAACACTTTCTGGAAAGGATAAAAAAATGTACCTCTCCAGTTCTAGTTCTCTTCTCCTGTCAAGCAGCTTTGTGCCCCGCTAACCTTCCACACCCCCCCCCCCCCACACCCACACACACACACAAAAGCCATTGCTGTTCTTTTATTTCTGCTGGAGAAGACTCTTCTTTCCACGAGTTTCACCAAACAGAATCATTTTCTTAGGTTCCATCAATGTATAAAAAAAGCTCAATAGCCAAAAGCACAATTAATTGAAATCTAGTTTAATAATAATGACTATTTAAAGGTTCAGTAAAAAAGAACGATTAAATGCACATATAGATAAGTATACTAGCATGCAACAGATTACAGCTTCTCTTGTAATTCAAAAAGGCAGATAGCTTATAATATACCTCTTTTTATCTATGATCATTCTTCCAGTAAGAGTTGCAAAGAATTATACTTCAATCTAACAAATAAGAGAACTTACACGTGAATACGTGATCTATAATCGTATTTTATCAAACACTAATATTAAAAGCAGGAATCACGTGTCAGCTGTCTAAAAAAAATCATGAAAGGAGAATTGCCTTGTGTTCAAATCCAACGCCTCCTATCTAAAACACTTCAAGAAGCCACAAATCTGAAGCAAATGCAGTTACATAATCTCAAGAATTACAGAGCTTGATTAACACAGCTTATTATTGAACTTAAAATTGGATTATGAAGAGCAAGACTTCCACGGTTCTTAGAGACATATGGACTTATGGACCAGAAAAAGATTTTACCTTTCAAGTTCCGGAAAGTTGTACTACCATTCCACTCCATAATCTTCCTCAGTCCTAAGCAAATAATCCACTTCCGATGATCAACAAATCGGCACAACTACAAACTAAATCTCCCATTAGAAAAGTGACATCTTTGATTTATTCTTTCTCATAGCAAGGAGCTTCTCAGAGAGTAAAACCTCACGCTAATAGCTGCAACAGATAGCATATTGCATCATTCTTTAAAGATTTTGAATTGCATTTCCATAAACTGCATCAATGGTATTAAATATCATATTCACACTGCATAGAAACTAAGTGACACTTCTTTGAATTCTCAAACAGTAGAGTAAGCACATGTGGAAAACATTTCTAATATGTGTAGGGTGAAGCAAATTATGTCTAATTCACAATAGGTCATGAAAAGCATTCATAAGCATCCAAATATTGACTAGGCATCCACAAATTGACACTAAGCTCTAGAGAAAAATTTCCCTTTTCCATCACATTAATGTGATATCCTTGCAACAACAACCAAGGCCGTAATCCCAATATGTCGGGGTTGGCTACTTGGCAGCATAAACCAATATATATTATTTATGATGGTTGTCAACAAAGATCCTCTCCTTCCAATCTCTTCTATCAAGTGCTATATCCTCATGTAAACCCAATTTTCTCATATCATTTTTAACTCCCTTCATCCACGAGCACCCTTAGCTTCATCTACAATACTCATGATCCCAATTCCCTACCTTTCTTACTAGTGCATCCTGTAGTTGCCATACATGTCAATACCAACCAAACCGATTTTCCCTAATATCTCACCTTTTTTTCCCCAAATATCTTCATTTCAACATTTTCTTTTAAGATGTTCCACACATTCATTTCAATAAACGCATTCTTGCTAAACCTATCTTTCTAATATGACCCTTCCTAAATGCCCCCAACATTCTAATCCATATATGAAGAGTTTACCCTTTAACTTTAAAGGTACACTGCAATCACACAATACTCCAGTTCCTTACATGAATAAACATCAATTAATTTTTAGGAGCATCAGTGGGTCCCTTTGTTCAGTATGTGCGTGCATTTAAAAGAGAGAGAAAATGACCACAAGTTAAGAAAGTAATTCCCCATTCCATTACTAATGGGTTTCAGGATGGATTCACATGATTTTGTTAGTGATTAAACATCTATAAATTCTCATCCGCTTTCATGTGGAGCTTGGACCCAGTTTCAATTTCTTTTCAAAATTTAGAATCGTTGACATATATATATGATGGGAGACTGAGAACCTCATATTAGTGGTATGCATTGTGTTGTCCCACACCGTAAACGAGGGAAGTAAATTATCAGCTCATACACTTGGACTTTTTGAAGTTCTACACTAATCTTTCATCAGGGACCTATGAAAACTATCACATACTTGTTACTTCTCTACAAGAATAAAGATCAAAATTGCAATAATTTGATGTTGCTTACCTTGTCAAGATGCTCAAGCTAAATGAATTAAACTATACCCTTATACTTATGACTTACATGAAGCAAATAAAAATTGGAAAAAGACATTAAGAGCTAATGAAAACAACCATTCCAAATTAAGCACGCTATTTGGTTTAGTATGTGTTCAATTGTTATCACTTAACATTCTATACTTAATAAAGCTAAGAAAGTCTTCAATGTCAATATTCCAACTTAGGGTTACAAAAACAACGTATTTGCAATCATAAGAGTATATTGCCTAAGATTACTTTTGGTATTGAGGCACTTGGTATATGATTGATTTATTATACTTATACATTTCAATTAGTTGTCTATAATACCTACACAACCGGTGACACCTTTCTCTCTCACAAATTCCATATTCTCCGAGTAGCTATAGCAATGCATTGTCTCATCTTTCCATACAAAAGATAAAAATTACATAGTGATAAGGTTCGATAAATCAAAGGACATGTAACTTCGCGCATTTAACTACCAAGATGATATGTTTAAAACAAAAGTCTAAGGTAGATAACCAGCAAATGTTCAGAATCAAATTTGACTTGCTTGTGATTCTCTAAACCTCTTTGTATAAAGTTGACTAACTTAATTCAATCAAAGCTATGGTTTTTTTTTTTCAAATTTAAATTTTACATTACAATTATACAATTGATTCAAAGTTCATAATATAATTAGTAAATAATCAATAGAAAACCACGGAAATCTCCTCAATTAATAAAAAAAAAACAAGAAATTAATCAGATGATTTTTCAAAGATCACCTTATCCATAAAAGTTGATCAATTATAAAATTGAGAGAAAAACTAGCTGAAAATTCAATAAAATTGTACTACTAATAACATAATATATTAACATGATCACAATTAAGATCCAATTTGAGAACAAAAACAAGGAATTGAAAAGAGAGAGAAAGTACCAAAGAGCGGCATTAGCGAGAGTAGTAGTAGCAGCAGAAGAAGGTTGTTCTTCAGAGGAGAGAGAAATTGAAAGAAAAGCGGGAAGCTGAGGCGCCGGATCTGATGAGCCAACCGATGAGAGAGAAAGTTGAACAAATTACAGGAGCCGTGACGCTGCGTTGGTAGTTGAGGTGGTTCTGATTTTTTTTAATAATCAAGCCTATGCTTTAAGCTCTTTGGCTTGGGCTTCTTTAGAGGAGAAATGATGGCTTTGGGTTGGCTATCGTTATTAGCTGAGGTCGAGCCCAGCTACATATTTACGAGGTCGCTACTAAAATGAATATTTACGATTACAATGATTTTGTATTTCTCAATAATTAAATGTTTATTTTCATGCAGTAATATGTTCGTTCGTATAAAATAAATTTTCATTTTCTTGTCGTATGATGTTCATTCTTATAAAATAAATGTTTATTTTTTTTTTAAATTAATACAAATTTTTGTGTTTATTCAATTGTATAAAATGTTCGTTTTTATAGTTAAGGATGTTCTACTAACATTAGCATTAATAATGTTAGACATTAGCATTTTGTTCCTCTTATTAAAAAAACATACTGTTGATTTATTTGATTGGTATTAAATCATATAGCTCAACGAATTGCAAGATATCCGTTCAAGAGTGTTAAACAAATCAAGGTATTTCACTTGAATTGAACCTTAAAAAAGTTGAAGAATAAACAATAACATTATATGTTCATTTTTATTTACAACTAAAATGTGCAGTTACATAATATTAGATGTACAATCCTTTTTTTTTTTTTCCAGTTTCATAGTTTCTTTATTTTACTTTTATATATATTATAAACGTTTATTTTTTATACATTACAATGTTCAAAAATAAATGTTCAATTTTTTCTAGTAAACGTTCATTTGTGTTGTGCGACTCCAACCAGGGGTAACTGGTTGGAATTAATGTAAGGTCGTAAGGCCCAAGTGCGCCTCAAGCCCAGGCCATGGGCCTCAAGGGCTAAGATGGGTCGGACCATGGGCTAGTCCAAGGGGTGATCTAAGGGTTAGCCCGCCTATCAATTATTATTATTATTTAATAATCTCACCTACTGATTATTACATACGAAATGAAATAATAATCGATAGGTGAGATTTTGAAATAATAACCCGTTATTAAAATGTTCTAAGTTATTGTTGAGATTATTTTAATTAAAATAGACAAAGTATATGTTAAAAGAAAAGGAAAAAAAAAGTATTACGTACGAAATGAATCATAGATAAAGAGAATAGAGATGATACATAGCAAGAGCCTTAGAGCCACATATGAGAAACAAAGGTGCTATGCAACAATTGAATTTATTGACACACCCACATCTACACTTAGTCACTTACTCATCTCATCACACATAAAAAGGGTCCTGAAATAAGTTAGACCACCAAATCTTGTTCCCTCAAATCCACAATGTATGTTTTCTTTCTACATGTATAGTATCAACACTTTTTCTGTTTAATTTCAAAAGCAACCACTTGCATGATTTCAATTTTTTCAACTACTTTTCTTTGGTAATTTTTTCCATATCAAACCTAGCTAAAAGAAAATAACATAAAATGATATATAAAAAGAGAACCAAAAAAAAAAAAGTATGGATTAATAATGATAAACAAGTTAGTCTTGTGTGGGTGATCTTCTCCTTGTCTTCTTGGATCTCCATATTATTGCAGAAGGGTCTGGACAAATTTGGTATGGAATCTTTTGTGGGATTATATCAGGAACTCTGCACCAAAAACAGGATAATATAGTTACATACTTTGTGGTTTTCAATTATTATTGTTTGTTTTACATAATTTAGTTCGAGTGTGATAGAGTATATGCAAATTAACTAAACTAGTTGATTAAAGCATTGGAGATTAGTAGAGACGCAATTCGACATTATACTTCATATATGTTTTGAAATGAATTCTCATAGTTCTAGTTATTTTTTTCTTACTTTTCTTATTATAGAGTAACGTTTAACCATATATCAAACATATATGTAAATTTAAATTAGACGGATAAAATAAAATAAATGAATAGAACTAACACTCCAAAAATTATATAATGTATTACAAATGTTAATGTATGCTATGACTAATATGCATTTAACCTTAATTAGCTTATTTAACTAACATCTGATGTTATTATCTTATAAGTTCTACACTTCTACAGATAAGAACAAAATAAATAAAAATTGCCTGACACTAGCATAGCAGATTGTTTAATTTTGATATTTGTCTATATCTATATGTACAATATTACCCATTAACATGATTGTTATCCTCTTTTTTTGTTAAGAATTAAAAGGAAAGAATCCTATGGTAATATGTAATTTAAAATTAAAAAAGTATACCCAGCCATACAAGGGGGAACAAAGGCAAAAAAACAGATAAAAAACTACATAAAATACAATATGTTCTATATTACCTCTACGCTAAAAAAAAATACAATTATATTACCTCTACGCTTAAAAAAAATACAATATGTTCTATATTACGGAGTACAATCTAATCAACCACGTAATTTTTAATTATGTATCTAGAGTCTATTCTCATTAACTGAAGGAAGCTCTAACCACTTGAGTTATCCCTCACTCTTTGATCTTAAAATGATGAGCTTTATTCAAATTCATTAGAAGTTATTTTCGAATATTTAATAGTTAAATACTCATAAACCATCCTTGAAAATAAATACTCGTATTTCATTTAGTTATTGTATGTCCGGATCATATAAAACTTTACCCATATTGACATAAGCTAGAATAATTAGAGGAGGGAATAGGGAGAATCTTACTGCAAAGGAGCAACTTCGATTTGAGAAAAGTCCAAAGTGAGTGAAGCTTCGAGTTGAGTGATGCATGCATATGATTTTGCACTCGTAGTCAGTCTAGCCGATGACGATGAACATGACGGCCTTGGTTGTTTTATTGCAAGAACTTTGCAATTCAATGTCTTTGTTATATTATCATGTCTCATTGCCAACCTGCCATTATCAAATAATGTCATCACTCATCACTAATAATGTATTTTTTTTTTTATAATTTGTCTAAATAGATTATGTAACACATAATATATAAATTCTAAAATAGTCATGATTTCTTGTGATTTTTGTAAATTGTGACGATTTATAGCTCAACACCCAACCACTAATGTAGAGAGCATATTATGTATATCCGGCTATAGTATATTTTTACTCATTTGTTGATTGAATGAGCAATTGACCTCGAATATACAGTATACTCGGATGTACATAACAAATTCTACTAACATATTATGGTACCACTATGATAAAATTGATTGAGGATTATAATGTGTACAATCAAAACAAAACAACCAAGACTTCTCATGGCTCGGTCTTTATCAAGGACTAATAGAGTAATTGTCACAATATTTCAACCCCTAGCATAATAAAAGAAACCATTATCTAATTGTGTCAAAAATATAGTATGATAACTTTTACCGAACATCTTAGAAGAGTTAAAACTAATTTAATTAACTAGCATATTTATGCGATCATTATTTGTGATTATGGGACTAATTGTTTCACGGTTTCACCATTGTTCAGGTTCTTAGTAGTAAAAGTTGACGAGACCAAATAAATAGGGAATAAAATAAAGTGGTCAACTTTATTTAAAGAGATGTCATGGCCAACTTACTGGTTGAGATAGAGACTTGGATAATGCTAATAACCATAGCAACCTCATCCAAGTTTTAAAGGTCAATTTTTCATTTTATCAGTATCTTTGTGGACCTTCCTGTTCGTTCCTATTACAGGTAATATATTCTATGCCGACCATACATTTGTATATTTTCTTAAACGAACTATCGACTAATTAATTTAAATTAATTAATATTTTTACATAAATGTAAGGAAGAAAAAGAATTAACTTTGTTACTCCGTAAATTGATTAACTTGATTTAATAAATTTTCTAGACGTCTGTTTTAGTGATCAATAGACTACCGAGTTTAGAAATGAAATGTATTTATATTATAGTGAAATGTCCAAGTTGAACCCACGCAAGAACACAAACCGCTCTTGCATAGGTTCAACCGTTCAAACCTAATTAAGGAAGGTGGATTACATAACAATAATCGAGCTAAGCTAGTAAGCTCTCTTGAGTATTATCGTGTTAAGGGTTTGAGGCTGATTTGCTTCATGGATACATAAATTTAACTATTGTATGAAGAATATTATTTGACACTTACTTCCTATAACATAGCCCATTTAGAAAGAGACAAAATAATATATATCAATGTAATACCAAAAAATATAAAGCTAAAAATTGATGACAAAATCACAAACACTTCTAAAATATATTATTGTACTTGCCATGTTCTTTTCAACAATCTTTTATTTCTTTCCCAAAATATAATAACTAGGATCCAGACAAACAATTAAATTTTCTAATTAATAATAGGTGTTATAAATAAATACAATTGATGATCGTATCACGTAGGACTCATAAATATGATAACATTGATATACGCATTGGCGAAAATAATTTGATTCCGACAAGAAAAGTTTGTATTAGAGTTAGAAGGCCACCACACACATGCTTGTCATTTTTCAAATTTATTATTTTTAGTACTATACTACTATGCTTATGCTACTATGAGGGGTATCGTACAATTTAAAATAATACTAGTAGTCAATTAGTCATCTTGAAAGCTCATTGTCAAATAAAATTAAAAAAAAAAAAAAAAAAAAAAAAAAAAAAAAAAAAAAAAAATCATCTTGAAAGCTATAGAGTTTTATTTCCTTGAAAGGAATAGAACACGTACTCATCTTCCTTCCCAATCGGACATCAGCCAACGGGTTAGCTAATCACGGTGTTTAGTTTGACGTTCAAGTTTGTTATGCTTGAGGCTATTTCATTGGATATCCGTGTTATTTTATTGGAGAATCTTAGTGGGCTGATATTGATTGAAGGTCTATTCACTTCAGCTTAATTTCAGTTCAGTGCAGTTCAGCTCTAATCAATTCAGTTCAGTTCAGCTTCTAATTTTCTTCCCTCATAATATATTCATTTCAGCTCTATTTAGTTCAGTTCAGTTCAGTTCAGTTTAGCTCAACTCAAATCAATTCAGTTCAGCTCAATAAATGTGAAAAGACCCTAAAACTGTTATAAGAGACGTTTATTTTCTCTTATTATCCCAACTCAAGCCCACTTTTCCCATCTAAGTGCCCTTTAATTTAATTTGTTGGAGTTATGTTTCTTAAAGCCTAGAAAATATTGGGTTTAATTGTATGTTAAATTTAGCTAGTTATCCCTATTAAGAAATTTTTTATGGGCTATTAATAATTATCTTTAGTTGGTAGGTGGTTGCCTATCAGTGATTTGTATTGATTCTCCCATTTATGGATTTGCTTAGGTTACTTGTAGTTGTAAATTGGCTTATGTATGTTACTTGTAAGTTGTAAATTGGCTTATGTATGTTACTTGAAAGTTGTAAATTGTCTACCATCTTTTTCTGTTACAAGTGACTTATAAAATTGTCTTTGTGTTGTTTTTGACAAGATTATCAAGATCTTTGTATTAATTTCATCGATCTTATGCAAAAGCTTGTGTGACCAATGTGACTTCGTACAGTCCCTCAACAACTATGCAAAAGCTTGAATGACCAATGTGACTTCGTTCAGTCCCTCAACAACAAGTACACCTGTGAGAATCGGGATTTGTGTTAACTTTTTCATACTCCCTTCGTCCCGTATTAATATGCTCGTTTCTCAAATTTCAAGGTAGAGGACATACTCTATGAGAAACGTAAAAGGTAAAGAATTTTATGAGAATAATAAAAAAAATATATATATAAGATATTATATAGGAATGATAAAAAGTAAGTAATGATTTTTTAGATATATGTATTTTGTATGAGAAAAATAAAAAGTAAATAATAGTTATATATTGTTTTTAGAAACATACACATCATTTTGAGATGCCATATAAATACAAGGGAATAACATTTTTTTTTTTTTTTGTATTTCAAACAAGCAAATTTCTTCAGTGTGTGTCACAAGTACAACAGTATCCTACGTACCTGTTTTGAGTGTTTCCCTCTAGTCTCTTTTTTTTTTTTTTTTTTTTTTTCAAAACAATTTTCCACTATAACAATTTTCCTTGTAATGTTGCCTTGATTAAAATCTATAATTCTAATTAAACCCTTTCCTTTCACATATTGTATAATTTATCCATGCATGAGCCTAAGGTGCCAAAACAACAAATAACATGACCCCTAAATAAAGAAAACAATAAAAATGCATGTATTACTCAGCTTGTATGCATAGATTACCATTAAAGAGGGAAAAAATTAAAACTACTCCATGATGAATTTAATACGTAATATTCTATTTTAATGACCGACCAAAGTAAATAATCTACCTTAAAAAAAAATGAAAATTCTTGATTCATATTGTTTGTCACTCCTTATATATAATTTGCTTAATGACTAGCTCACTCCCTTTACTAAAAAAAGTTAAGTATTTTAAAATGGGGTTGGTAAGGTTTTTGAGTGGTTAAAAATCACGACTTCCAAATCAAATGCATACTTGCTAATTAATTTTTTTAATCAAAAGAAAGCATCAATAGCTTAAAACAAATCATCAGCATTTAAGAAATTAAACTAGTATTAATAATGAAAATTACTCTTTTTCATTTGATATTATAAGGATATACTTGTATCTAGTGTAGTGGTAATTGTTAAATATTCGTTTGACAGTACATTATATGTACAATATTTATGATGATCTTAGTGCTAGAAGTAAAAACACTTGGTGTGCTAGAACTTTGGCTTTTTGCGAGTGTTGTAGCACTAGTGTTGTTTTGCTAGGAATTTGGAAGAGTAATATTTAACCTAGTGATGTAAATGGGGCGGGACGGGGTAGATGTTGGTCTTCCCATCCCCATCCCCACCTAATATTTTCATCCCCATCTCCATCCCCATCCCCGCGGCGGGTCCAATTTTCATCCTCATCCCCGCCCCACCGGGTACAACTCCAAAACCATCCCCGCCCCACCCCCCACTTGGATATCCATCCCCACCTAATTCCCACCAAAGACCCGCCTAATCCCCACCCAAGATCCACCTAATATCCGTATCTCAAATACACAATCTTACATAATTAATACGAATTATAAAATAAAACATTCTATACACATTTTTGTGTTATAATATAAGTGTCGTACAAAGTATTATAATTAATATGTATTTCATGTAATTATTTTATAAATTGAATAAAAGTATGTAATTTTGCTTTAAAAGATATATAGATGTGGGTATGAGATGGGGATGAGGCGGGTACGAAGTGGGGCAAGGCGGGGATGGGGCGGGTACAACTTAAAATCCACCCCCACCCCATCACCCATGGCGGGTATGGTTTTTATCCCCATCCCCGCCCCACCACCCGCCAAACCGAGACCCATCCCCGCTCCCAATGGGGCGGGTCTCCTACTTGACCCGCCCCACTGACATCCCTACACCCAACACTAAATTAGAATATAATGACTCACTCAACATTGTTATATGCATGGTTTAATTTAATGATCGATTAGATTATTAAATTAATACCAAGTAGATAATTGGTAATTTCTCTGTTCTTTTTTACTTGACCCGTTTCTTTTATCACGCTTGTCAATGCAAAACTTTAGCGATTAATAACTTTAAAATTTCATAAGTAAAAATTATAAAAGTTGTATATTACGATAGTACTTATTAAGACGAATTGAAAAAGATATCATATGAATATATTTTTCATTATATATCACTCACAAAAGACGGTCAAAGGAGAGGTGGTAAATAATGTAAAAGTCAAAGCGGATCAAGTAAAAAATAACGGAGAAAGTATAAAATTTTAAATTGTAACACAAAAAGTGTAACACATGTATCAAAAGTGACACATTATACTAAGACAACGACCTAATAAAATGCACGAATTTATTAATAACGCGCGACTTATTATTATATAGGTAATAAGAAGGAAGTAAAGTAATGAAGTGCAAAAGAAGACCAAACAATGAAACAAACTTTGGCATTATACTCATCTTTATAAGACCATAAAGGAAAGTAAATGAAATGCGCGTGAGACATAATACATTTCTAGGACATTTGAGTTGTTGATTGATCCATCTATCATGTGAATTTAATTGTCATCCTAATTCAACTACTCTACTCTATTTCTCTCTACTTTCTCCAGGGACCATTTCAAACCAACACTCCACAAGTTTTTCTCCTTACTCACCCGAAAAAGGCATAAAGATTATTAAGGTAGACAAAATCACATCTCGGGTTATATTATGAGTATCAGCCTAGACTTTACCAACTAACCTAGTAAAAACATAAAGATTAGTAATGTAGTCAGAATTATATCTCGGATTATATTATGAGTATCAGCCTAGACTTGACCAACTAACCTAGTAACAGTGTCTTATTAAAAAAAATTAATTTTTTTAGGGGACAATAATAAAAATTGAAGGGTAGGAATTAGCAAGGAAACACTGACCTGTAGAAAAAACTATGATCATGAAGACCAAGAACCAAAGCAAAGGCACCCATTTCTCTAACCAACCCCACCATTTTCTCTCCTTCTGCATCATCTTCTGTCACCACTATCTCTATTTTCGTCTGTATAATTCAAACCTATAATATATCAATATAATTACCAATTAATAATAGTACTAATCATATTGTTCTTGTTACAAACTATGTAATATAATTTAAATTCATGAACTTACATTAATAGATGAAGAGGTACAAATGTCATTGAAAGAAAGAGCTAATTGATAACCCTTTAAGCGAAGAAGCCTAAGTTTCTTCTTGTTACGTGACCTAGGAGGGTAGTAAGGACATATATGGAGGAGTGTCACGACGTCGCCGTATCGAACGAGGTTTTGTAGCGCCCATTTTAGAGCTGTTCTTGCTGTTTCTGATTCTTCTACCACCACTACTATTTTTCTCTCATCCATCATATATCTTTTTTTTTTTTTTTTTTTTTTTTGTGTGTGTTGTGAAGAAGAGGGTGGAGAAGTTCTAGAGGAGTTGGCAAGAAATGGGGGGATGTATGTCTTGATCAAGGTGAAGAGGAAGCATATATATATAGAGTTGTAGAGTAGTAGAGGAGAAAAGAGGGATGATGTGAACAAGAAGAGACTATAATTTAATGAGTGTTGTTTTAATTTAATTTTTATCAAGGGAAAATAAAATAAAATGTATCTTTTTTTAAAAGAAAATAAAATGAAAGGTATTCTAGTGAATGAGATCCTTGTGGTTGAGCATGACTCTTTTATATATATATATTTTTTTTCCTTCTATTATTAGTCTTAATTAAGGCATGAGAAATTGAGAATTGGTGATGAAGAAACTATTGTCATGTACTCTTTGTTTAAAGGCGGGATCATAAAATTATTTTAAGGGGACTGAAATATTTTAAATCTCTATTATATAAGCCAAGATAAGGGGTTAATAGTGTCCCCTTGTAAATACTAAACTATTTAAATTATGATAATTGAAAAAGTCAATCAATTAACAAAAATGGAAAGATCAGTCACTCAGAAAGTAAAAAAAAAAATACTCCGTAATAATCAATTACTTAAAATATGTCCAAAATTAAATAAATTACATGTTTTTTATTTATGTCAATCAATATACTAAATCAATTGATAAACAAATATGAAAATTCAATCAATCAAAATTATCTCCAATTGAATTCAATAACTAATAAAGGAAAGAAAGTGAGATGTCAATTTTCCATAAATTAGTAACTTAAATTATGACTAGCACTATATGCACGCGTTGTGTGCGTTAATTTCAAGAATTCATAACCAGTATGTTTAATGTATCATCAATACAAAATTTGAAATTTAAAATAATAACTTTACAAAAAATACATGTGAAAATTGAAATAAATAATCATCTAACTAATCAAATGTATAAAAGAGGATGAAAATTCTAATAACGGATTTTTTTACCAAATAGCCCTGAGTTTTATTTTTATTCACCATATACTCACAAAATTTTCAAATTCACCCTATGTCCCTGAATTTATCAAAAATATTACAAAATACCCTTTGCCACGTGGCAACCTAGGATTGGCTGCCATTTATATGATTTAATTTTTAAAATAAATATTTAATTAATTATCAAAGAATAAAAAGTAAAAAATCCACCCACCACCACAACCCAGCCCTAGCCGGCACCCTGTCCCTATAACACCCCCGATTTACTAGCTAATAATAAGCAGTAAATAAAGGAAAATAAATCAAACTTTGAATAAAAATGCGAAAATTTACACCTAAATATGAGGTATTACTGCCACATTCGACAACTTGTCAAGTGTTAAGGCTTACAAGATCACAATAATTATAACCCAATTATATAGGTGAGCTATTTATACAACTTTACAAACTCGTTATAGCACACTGTACTAATCGAAACCTTGAGCTCCTTTAGCTATGCTTACTTAATCAATCTGCTTAGAAAATCTTGACAGCTCACCATTAAGGACAAATTCCAAAATAGATCGTCGCAGGGGCACCATAAGAAAAAGACATGACCGCAAACACAAATAGCACAACAAAACAACACATATACGTCAACAAAAAGCTAACTAAGGTCTATAACTATAACATGTTGAAATATTTTCACTCACATGTTTTTATTGTTTTAATATATTTTATACGATTTAATATTGTACTTGGTGAATCGAATCATTATCTTTTAAATAATCATATTGTTATTATAATTATTCAATATTCGTGCATTGCATGCACATGGTTTAAGTACGTGTTTAACCTAGTTGCAAAATCAATCAATCAATAACTATATACTAAAAGACACACCAACAATAATGACACGTGTCATGTTCCTGTGTGTCCTTAGCTTTTTTTTTTTTTTAAAAAAAAATTCTATTTAAGAAACAAATTAAATCTTTCTACATATAAATAAAAATTGTATACAAATTAAAACAGAAGATTTTAATACAACTTTTTTGTAGGAAAAAGATTTGACATAACTTTCCACAAAAAACATATTGTCAACTATAACTTAAGCAAAAGAATTAGAAAATAATATTCTTAACATAATTAGTAACATATGACTTTTTTTTTTTTTTTTTGGAAAGCCATATTATGCATTACATATGTTTATTATAACAACATTATAAATTATTTTCTTGATTTGGTTGTAAAATTATGTAATAGAAGCTAAAAGCTTAAGTAATGAAATACGAATATCAAATCAACAAATGATACTTTTGTCATTTCTTTGAATAATTTATGATTTAAATTTCAATCAATTAATACTATACAGATACTTCAATAAGATTTGCCTAAAAAGATACATATTGATTATTCTTAGTGTGATATTTTTCTGTCATTTTTGTTGTTCTCTAGCATTCCATTGATATGAATATAACATACGAAAGTAAAAAACTTAATAGTGTTAATTTTAAAAACATCTATTGAAAATTACTATGCATGGCACGGGACCTAACCTAGTAAAGTTAAAATCCTAAGTGAGTTTAAGAGTTTATAGGTACTACGCAGCGGAAAAACATGAATCATATTCATACAGTATCTAATCCCAAGATCTAATGCATAGCACATAAAGAACATATAATCACTAGTAGAAAAAAAGCATTAGGCACCCCCTATATGGCACCGATTCAGGCTAAACCGGTGCCCAAAACCGGTCTGGAAATGGGCGGGATTTTACCAAAAGAGAAAAGGCACCGGTTTGGCTTGAACCGGTGCCAAAAATTAAAAAGGCACCGGTTTGAACCGGTGCCAATTGAACCGTTCCTTACTTTAAAAAACCGGTTAAACTTAAAAAAAAAAAAAAAAAAAACGGCCATATTTATATGAAACCCTATTTTGCTTCACTACTAGCTCGCCGCTTCATTCTCCTCTCCTCTTCTTTCCTACTATTTCTCTCTCCTCTTCTCCTCTCCTCCTCTTTCACTCCACTTAACCTCCTTCCCTTTCTTCGTTCTCATCTCCTCCTTCCCTTTCTTCGTTCTCATCTTCTCCTTCAAGCTCACCACGAAGACCACCACGGAGACCACTACGAACACCACCACGGAGACCACCACGAACACCACCGCAAGCACATGCAACAACACCACGGAGACCACTCCTCCTCCCTCAATTTCTGGGTTTTTGTGTTGTGATTTTGATTTTTGATTTTTGAATTTTGTTTTTCGATTTTGATTTTCGATTTTTTCTGGGTTTTTTCGATTTCAATTTTTTTTCGTTTTTGTTTTATTTTAATTGATTTCTGGGTTTTTTTATTTGTTCGTTTTTGTTTTTATTTTTTCGATTTCTGGGTTTTTCAATTTTTTATTTTTGTTTTTCGATTTTGATTTTTGATTTTTGATTTTCTTTTTTATCGATTTTGATTTTTGTGTTTCGATTTTTACTTTTGTTGTCTGATTTTGATTTTTGATTTTTGTTTTTCGATCTTGATTTTTGTTTTTCTTTTTTTTCGATTTTGATTTTTATGTTTCGATTTTACTTTCGTTGTCTTATTTTGATTTTGATTTTTGTTTTTCGATTTTGATTTTCAATTTTTTCTGGGTTTTTCCGATTTCAATTTTTTTTGTTTTTGTTTTTATTTTAATTGATTTCTGGGTTTTTATTTTTACTTTTCGCAGCTTATTCATTTTAATCAATTTATTTTTGATGTTTTAATTGGCGCAGGTATACATAATCCAAGAATCAAGAATCAAGAATATGGGGATTTTTAGATTGTGATGTTGTAATATTTTTTTTTATTTATATTGTAGTTTTTTTTTATTTATTTATATGTTGTAATTTTTTTTGATTTATAAGTAATTTTTTTTATTGATCTATGTTGTAAAATTTTATTGATTATATATTAAACAGAATCGTTTAGACGTTTATATTGATTGTGATGTTTGATTTATATTTTGTGTTTTTATTTAAATTAGTTTATTTAATTTTTAAGCAAAAAAAAAAACAAAAAAAAAAAAAAAAGATTTTGGGGGTTTTTTGGCACCGGTTAACCGGTGCCAAAAACTTTGAAAAAAATTTTAGTGGGCCTTTTTGGCACCGGTTAACCGGTGCCTTTTCCACCCTATGGCACCGGTTTTGAACCGGTGCCAAAAACTTGGTTTTTGGCACCCCTCACATAGGCAGCGGTTCAAACCGGTGCCTTAGACCGGGTTTGAACCGCTGCCAAATGCCTTTTTTCACCTAGTGAATTGTACCTTTGAAGCGTGATTCCACGTGCGATCAAGCAAGAAAAATGGGAGATAAAGAACCCCAAGCGTGATTCCTCTACTTGGTCCACGGGCACAGATTAAGATCTCCACTAATGCTAGTTAGTTGCAATTGAACCCTTCAATTGACCTTTTACGGAGAAGAGCGAGCAACGAACGGCCATGAACCACCACACGCGCCACCAAGGGTGGCCGGCCGTGAGTCCAAAAGGGGAGGAGAGGGAGCCGTAAATTAGAGAGGGAATTAGGGTATTGGGATTGGTTGCCTTGATGTCAAAATTCACTGTGTGTGAATTATGACTGCTTGCTTGCAACCCTAGGCGTGAATCTTAGTTATAGATCTCATCTTTAAATAAGAGCTCATGTCAAAAGCCCAAAACCTAATTCCAATCTAACTATGCTAACCCAATCCATTTCATGATTAGTTAATTGTTCATGAGGCCCACTAATGGGCCTCTAACTTGCTTAACCCAATACCCTTGTGTGTGACCTCATAGGATCCGTTCTAGCGGGCTTTGGACTATTTGACTAGTCCAAAGGTCATCTTTCATAGTCTAGCAACAGATGATGACGCCCCAAGAGAACGAACTTATAATCTCCATAATAGTGATCCTTGATATATCTAGTAATTGCACTTATCAAAGACACAACTCCTTCAGTGAGGTGGATATAAGGTTGCAAAGGGAATGCTGTGGAGTTGGAAAGGACAAGATATGATATTCCAGTTTTTTTTTTTAAAAAAAATTGTTCATTTTGATTATTATTGCTCACTAATTATCAATTTAGTTAAAATATAATCATGCTTCAGTCAATCAAACATTAGGATAAATTCAAGTTCAATTCATCCCATTTCAAACAACTAACAACCCTAAACTCCCCACAAGGTTTTTTAAACGTTCTGACTTGTCAGTTTTGTGGAGCAAGCCCTGATTAATAACCTTGAGAGGTACGAAATAATGAAATATAATGTTAATTTCATTTATTGGAGGGAGTCCCTCTCAATTTATCACTTTCATATAGCCGTAAATAAATCAATAAATATGTCCAATCAGCATGACCTTTTTGTAACTAAATCAACATTAGTGAGGATCATATTGAATAATAAGTTGTTGATTTATTGATAACTAGCCTTCTTGCCCGTGCAATGCACAGATTATTCATATAAAATTGTATTGAGAGAGAAGTGAGGAAATATCAGTAAGTCATTATAGGGTATAATATGTAATCGGAAAAAATTGTATTGAGAGATAAATGAGGAAATATCAGTAAGTCATTATAGGGTATAATATGTAATCGGAAACATGATTAATGAAATTCAAATTTTGAAACTTTAATCGAAAAAGAGGCTTAAATAGAAGGTGGAAGGGCTAAAATTAAAGAGAGAATAGGAAAAGGTTGAATTAAAGGGGAGAGATGAAGTGTGTATTAAAGATGAAGTATAAGTTTAATGAAAGAATTAAAAAAAATGGTGTAATATAAAATTAATAGTGTAAGATGACATGTGGCACTATGGTTAGAGAAGTGTAATAAAATGGATGGGAACATGTGTCTTTTCTTAGTTTCTTGGTTATAGTTTTTAAATACTAAGTATAGATATAGATATAGATATAGATATAGATGTGTAATTTCCCTTTATAACTGTAGGGGCGGCCGCATAATTGGAGTTAACTGTAAATTCTGAAACATTTATTACGATAGTGCCACTAGATAAACGTACAGTTGATAAACTTTCCTTTTTTTTTTCCGGCTATTTCACCAAATGCCATAAAGCATTTTAAAAATTCACCAAATGCCATCGGACATTTCAGAATTCACCAAATGCCACCGAGTTTTTAAATAATTCACCGAGTGTCATTAATGACTAACAACAGTTTACTCCGTTAGTCACTTAAGCTAATTATGCCATGTGGCATATTCTAATTGGTTCATTTTATTATTATTTTATTTATCAAAAAAATTATTTAAAAAAAAAACCGAACCCCAGCCACTCTTCTCACCGCCCCTACGGCAGCCCAACCCCTTGCCCCCACCCCACCGGCGACCAACAACCATCTCCATCCATCCACTCCTCCCTGACCCTATGCCCCCTACCATCTCCATCCACCCCCCCCTAAACAACCATACTCGACACCCTAATAAAACCCCAAAATTGAAATCTCCAAAATCGAAACCCAAAATTTGGTTTTCGATTTTGGGGTTTAAGCAAGGTGGTTAAGGGGGTGGAGATGGGAGGGAAGGGGGTGGTTTGGGTTTGTCGGAGCGGGGAGGGATAGAGTGGAGGGGGTAACGAATTTAGGGAAATCGATATTGGGGTTTAAGGTGTCGAAGCCCTATTTTTTGATTTTTGGGGATTTTAATTTAGGGTTTCGATGTGGTGGTTGAAAGGGTGGAGCTCGAAGGGGATGAACTGATTTGGGTTCTCCAGCGTGGGGAGGGGGGATTTGGTCGTCGGCGCTGGGGAGGGGATGGATTTTCGAGGGAGAAAGAGAGTTTGCTAATCGCGGCAAGGGTCACTGGGTTGCGTTGTCGGCGCGGCTAGGCTGGGTCGCCGGCGTGGTTGTTCAGAGTTAGGTCGCCGCCACGGTGGGGACTGGTTGGAGGCGGGGATATGGTGGTGGCAGTGACAGACGGTGGTCGGGCTGGGTCATGGTGGGTGATTTTTTAAAAAAAGTTTTTTATTAAGTAATTAATTTACTAATTTAATAAGCAACCAATCATAAGCCACCACGTGGCATAATTAACCTTAATGACTAACGGAGTTAACTGTCGTTAGTCATTAATGACACCCGGTGAATTTTTTAAAAATTCGGTGGCATTTGGTGAATTTTGAAAAGTCCAATGACATTTTATGAATTTTTAAAGTGTTTAGTGGCATTTGGCGAAATAACTAATTTTTTTTTATTTATTTTTTTAATTTTTTATTTTTGTGCTTCCACCCGAACATTTCTTTCATTTCCCTAGGGTTTTACTCAGGTTTAAAACCCCCAAAGTTTACAAATTCAATTCCCTCTTTTCTGATCAATAACCTCACTATCATTCATCAATGGCGACCTCAAGCTCATTGACATCAATTTCAAGAAAAGTATGTAGAAATCTCTTCTCAAATCAAAAACCCTTTTATTACACTACCACTTCCTTCTTCTCCAATGGTCCTTCAACTCCAGAGTACAACTTTGATTCAACCCCAGATGATAGTGAGTTGCCAACTCTTAACTCGAACTCTGAATCAACCGAGTTTAGCCCTGATAACTCGGCCCCTTCTTCCTCTGAGTTCGCTGCTGCTTCCCCTGATTTTGCTGGGCAGCGCCCGTTCACTCAGACAGTCCTTGAGGGTGGCTTAGATATCGGCATTTACAAGGTTGAATTTTTATCCATTTTTGCATTCTTTTTGGTTGTGATATATGCGGTCCTAAGGACTAACTCTACATTATGTTACTCGGACTCGGTACCCTTGTCCGCATTGGTGTGTCCAAGTGTCCAACTCGTCTATTTTGTAAAAAATTTGGTATAGAATAAGTGTTGTAGTGTTATACCCATGTCTGGGTGTTGAGGGTCTGTCATGAGTACTTAAAGTGAAGTAAAGAGTCAAAGTAACATAGACTATACGACAAAATCATGTGTTGATCGATGTATTAATGTTTAACCGAGCCTAAGAAAAAAAAATCTGCCTACATTGTACTAGTATTAAATTTGAGAAAATTCTTTAATTTTGTGGTCGGGTATTAGTGAGGGTCTTGAGATTAGCCTCCTAGGATATATGCTAGATGAATGTAGTAATTTAATGGGAATGATTTGTTTGATCTATGCATTTTGTGATTGTTTGGTTTCGTTGAAAAGCGGGAGACCATATGAAAATGTAGTATTGAAGGTATACTGATTTGATTGGATGATAATTGAGTTATTCTAGTTTGCGTTTTATGATAAATTAGGCTATACTAGTGGGACAAGTAGGGCAGATTCCGTTACAGAAGAGGCTGAAGAATGGGAAGTTGGTGACACTCACTACTTTAGGAACCGGTGGAATTAGGAATGAGCGGATTCCGTTCCCAAATGAAGAGCCGAGGGAGTATGCTGATCGTTGTAATGTTCAATGGCATCGAGTTGCTATATATCCGGAAACATTGGGTGCAGTTGTGCTGAAGAATGCTCAACCTGGGTAAATTTCTTTTCTTGATCTATATACCATGCTGGTTTCACACTTTCACTAGTCAGTTTTGTCTGCATTGTTCTTTGTTTGGTATTGAATAAGAAACTTTTTATTTCTTATTAGTTGTGTGATAAGTTTTCAACATGGAGAACATTGATTTTAATTCGGCTGGCATTTTGTGAGGAAGGACAGAAGAATTGGGGATTCCAGAAGTTAAAATATTGTAATGAACTCATAACGGTTTGTTGGTTTGTTTGTGTGCGTTTATGAGAGTGTTCTTGGTATTCCCTCCATTCTGCAATAGAGAATATGAATTTTGATTGTGATGAGACATATTGTTGTGGCACTATCAAGCTTAATAGTGCCTTCAATCCTTCATTATGATATCCAACCTTTCATCTTAGAAGATAACTAATTAAGAATGTGTTGGTGTTGAGTAATTTCATGGACTTGAGAGCTTTGAGTCTCCACGTACATCTATTAGCAACCTGTCAACAGGGGTTGGCAGGTGGAGAGAGAGAGAGAGGCTTTCTCCACACACACACACACAATTAAACAACATGTCATCATAATCATGCCTTAACTTAGAACAAAGTCTCCAAAGCTCCACTATGACTGAAGATAGAGAATGAAATGAGGAAAAAGGGTTGTATTAATGTATACAGTGTACAATACTATATGTGTGTGTATGTATATAGCTTGAAAAACATTTTAAGTGACTTATAATAAAGAATAATTTTTGAAGTTTAAAAAAACTGGAATTAGCGTCGATTACACAAAACAAAGCTTGGGAGCCCTATTTGCTTCAGTCAAAATTGCGCGTATGATAGAAGTAAAGTGGTCAATTTGACACTTCCCTGATTTTTTGTTTTTAAAATCACGATGGCCTTTGTAGTTCTCTTCAGAATACTTTTGCTAGAGTTGTATACCTATATGTTTGTAATCTTTGTATGAACAGTGATATTTATGTTGCCAATTTACAATATTAAGTACCAGCTAAGTATAGGGTTAGTAGTAAGGAGAGACCTTCCAAACTTGAGGTTGGGGTTCAATCCCCACTAAGGGCCCTCTCTTGTCACAACACTTTGTATGAACAGTGATATTTATGTTGCCAATTTACATTTCAAGTATCAATGAAGTATTGGGTTAGTAGTAAGGAGGGACCTTCCAAACTTGAAGTTGGGGTTCAATCTCCACTAAGGGTGTCTTGAGGGTTGGGATTGCCTTACCTCACAACCCACCTTGCTCAAAGAGGCTAGCCTACTAACCAGGCCTTGTTGATCCGTGAGAGGTTCCGAACCAGTAGGGCAGTTCTTACCAACCCAATAAAAAATAAATAAATAAATATGTATTTATAGTTAAGTGGTTATAGCAATAACAAACACTAATACTACCTCCGTTAACTTTTAGTTGCAACTTTGGAATTATTTTATATCTCACAAATAATACCCCAAAGTTGCAACTAAAAGTTAATGGAGGTAGTATGTATCTTTGTACTGATTTTTGGGGGAAAAAACAGCACTTGTTGCTTTGACCTGTTGGAATCGTTTCTCGTGCCTGCCTTCATACAACTGATATCTGAAGCTTCATTCATGTTGCAGTTCACTACTTTATCTGGAGGGAAATCTGGAGACCAAAATCTATACTGATCAAGTTTCTGGTATTGTTAAACGTGTAAGGGAAATTGCAATTCGACGAAATGGTATGTTTTACATTGATGTTCTGACATTTATCCAAAATTTGTGTCCTATGCTTTTTTGCTTCCTATTAGTTAATTAAAAAAACTGTAGTTTTGAACATATTTTGGGGTTGAACCCCTTGTCCTTGCACTTTGTTGTTGATACTGTTGCTTGTTTTTCCTTTGTGTTCTTGGAACGGGGTTGGTGGTGATCAGAGATTCACATTACATAGATGGCAACCCGGAATGTATTCTACAAAGCAGGGATTTTTTTGGGGAGGCATCTTATGTATTCTGTTGTTTCATTGTTGCAGGCCGTGTTGTATTTTTAGGAGTTGGTAGTGATTTCCATCAGCCACCTATACAAGAGCTAAGAGGTGTTGGATATTTCTGAGTTCTGAGGACTTCATTGTCCAGGTCTCTCAGGCACATTATTGGATTGTTTCCAAGTGGCGTTGGAAGGGCCAGTGCTCATATCTTCAAGATCTATTATGCTGGACATCACTGCCATCTTCTATATTCTGACAGAAACTGAGTCGTGCCTTGTCTAATGTCTGTAGAACTATTGATTCATTCTGCAATCATCTACACTGTCAGTTATATTCTTTCATGCGTTTACATGGAAGTTGATATTAGGAGTTTACTAATCTAGCAGTTGCGGAATATGTATAGCCTGTTTTCTCATTCTGGCCACTATCATTTGACATTGATGGCAAGTATCGATTATACTCCCTCTATTTTTCATTTTTAGCTATATCGCATGAAACATAAACACTGTTGAGAACCAGAGATTAGTGTTGAAAATGATGCAACTCTACTAGCACTCTGGCAGTCTCAGACCGAAAGAGAGGGAAACCAATCATTATGAAGTACTTGCCTAAACATTTGGGGAGTAGGGAGCAGCTGTGTTTCCTTTGCTGCGTAACTGCGTAGTTTGCAGGAATACAATTCCATCATTTCACTCTGTTCTAGAGCTGCTTGGCTCAAAATACATTGAGATATGTCATGCTGTTCTCATTGGCTTGTTTATGTGCTCCGTTTGCTGCCGGTTGTCAATAGTTTGAGGTTCGTAAACAAAGGTTAGGGTTGCAGTGAGTGGTTACGGTAGTGTGAGAAGAAAGACTAGAGCAAGGGTGAAGGAGTAGACATAGAGGAGAAGGGTAGATTAGGCTAGGGCAAATTTAGTATAATAAGAAAAAGAAAGATTTAGGAACGCTAGCAAGTTCTAATAGGAAAGGTAAAGAAGAGGAAATTTATATTTGATTGTTAGGATAAATTGAGAATTTTGTTTTACTAAACATTAAACTTTTTTTTTTTTTTTTTTTTTTTTAGGATTTAAGTAAACTCTTTCTCAGAATTTTATCTTTAGAAATGAAAAGGTTAATGTTAATCATTATAATGTTGCATTTTTATGCGTACTATTACCTTTGTTTTTTTTTTTATTAGTTGAGACGTTTTGATTTAATTTATATTCACACAATCACACACTTTCCTGTGACCGTGCTTTGTGCTTTATACGTAATGAAAAATATAGTCATGTAAGATCTTGTTAGATTCATTACTATATATATTTCAAATATCAACTTCATAATTTTTGCGTGTCTGTAATTAAAGATATTAATGGTTGAATTTATGCATTGACAAACATGACTAAAGAAACATGCAACTAAAAAGAAACGAAGGAAGTATTAAGAAGAAAAAGAGCAAACCAGTTCTTCAAATTAGCATATGTTTATCAAATGCTTCAAAATTTTGTATAGGGCTTAGCCGTTTAGGCACTTTTAACTGCTAGTCATTTGGTGATCATACTTAGGGTTGTGCATGGTGCATTTTGTGATTTTTTCAAACAGCACCAAACCGCACCGCAAAATACGGTTTGGTGCGGTACGGTTTGCGGTTTTTCCATAATTTTTTTACCTCACAAATAATGATTATTTGCTAATCTTTTATTATGAAATTTTTACTTAGAAACTGTACAACTATGCAAATAATTCAATAAAGAAGTAGTGCTTTACTTCAATGTTAATTGTGACCCAGTAACATGCCAAGACAAACATGGAGCAAAATCATTAAGTAAACCACAACCACTCCATTACAACTCCAAAGCACAAGAAACGGAGAGTAATAAGAAAGGAAAACTTTGGTTTTCTTAATAATGACCCACACAATTCAGTACATATAAATACAATATAAGAGTCTTCTTTCCATATAAGAGTCTTTGCGTTAAATTGTGGTTTGCGGTGCGGTTTGGCTTGAAATTTTTTTGAAACCGCACCAAACCGCAAAACTGCGGTTTGGTCAAATTTGAAAACCGCACCATAATTTCCAAACCGCAAAATTGCGAATTGGTTTGCGGTTTGCTGCGGTCTAGACCGTACTTTGCACTGCCCTAATCATACTCCATATTACTTCCTCCCTCACTTTTTAATCTTAACATTTGAAATTTTTTAGTGAGTGAAAAATGAGTGATCTTATAATAATGCTAAAATACAAACTAAATCTTTATATAAATCGGTTTAAATGCTATTTCTCACAATACCGTTCACGAAGCTTCGATTTCAAGGTTTGATATTCATCAGTATAAAACTGCTAACAATGTTGGCGTTTTTAGTTATAGTAATATAGAATCTCAAATGTTATTAGCAGTATTCTACCATAATCTTAGCGAACAGCTTTCAAATGGCTACAATAAAATTGTGGCCATTGTGTTAAAACAAATCACAACCGTTTATTTATATTGACTAATGTGAACCGTTGATATAGTTTATTTTTATTTTATTTAAAAAAAACCTTGACAAAAAAAGAATTGACAAAAACTACCTTATCAATTTCGTCTCTTCAATCTTTGCTTGTGATCCATGTATACTGATTATAATTATTTGCTATTAGCTCCAAGACCAATCATTGTTGTCTTCTTAAGTGTAATTTTTCTTAAATCCACCCTTTGCTTTACTCAGTATGCCATTAGCTTTTTATGGCTTGAATTTCAGAATAAATAGTTGGGAGATTGGGAATTGGTTTCAAATTCTTCGTACAATAGTTAGATATTGGCATGCAGTTGCCAAGTTCCATTTGTTTCAAGTTTAAATTTATTTCTCGTTTCTTGAGTATGTGCGGCAAATCTTGCAATGGATGGAATGCTATTGTGGAGCCACTGGTCTATTTTTCTATGTGCTTTTTGTGCATAGTTATATACTCCATCCGTCCCTTAATACAATGCCTCTTTTGAGCATTTATTTCTCACATAATAAAGAGAAAGAGGCATTGTATTAAGGGACGGAGGGAGTACTGATATGGCATTGATCAATTGTTGCCTCTGGCATTCGAATAGAGTTGCTTGAATTTTTTGAGGAATTTTTTGAGGAAAAATAATTACTGAGAAAGAAGAAATTGATAAGATCAAAAACTTTTTTTAAAAAAATAAAATAAAAATTAAACCATATCAACGGTTCACATTAGTCAATAAAAATTAACGACTATGATTTGTTTTAATACAATGACCACAATTTTATTGTAGCCATATGTTAGTAGTTGAATACTAACAAATATCGAACCTTAAAATCGAGCCTATGTTGACAGTATTGTGAAAAATAATTCTTAAACCTATTTGTATAAGAAAAGAGTTTATGTTTTTCAAATTTTCAATCCCTTCTCAACTAAACACTCTCATTCTCGGTTTAGACTAGTCTAACCTCTCCCGATAATTAGTACCAACTATTAACAAACAAATCGTCTTATCACCTATGCATTAAAAAAAAACAGCCATTCAGGAGAAAAAAAGGGGGGGATGGAGTTTTGGGGCTGAAGAGAATCAGAGGATGGCCTACCAACACTGGTAATTGTGGTCTCAGATGCTCAACATTCATGAACTTCTATCTTATCCACAATATCATCTCCTGTTTTCTTTGACAAAGTAAGAGTAATTCACTACTCAAGTCATTAGGAGAGAGAGAGAGATACAGAGGCTATCTTCCATTAGAGCTACAAGGATGCTGCAACATCTAAAACTCGCACAATCGCCTGCGCAGATTTTACACACCCGAAAATTACCATATATGCCTGAAAACCAGAGTGTACATGCTGGCCTTTCTCCTCCGATTCCTAAACAATGCAACAAGTTTTCACGCCGAGAGCTCACAATCTTTACAACCTCTTCTCTGCTCCTCTTGACCTCTCAGACTCTGCATTCACATCCTTTTTTGGATGCGCGAGCAGAGGAAATCCCACAACAGCTGAAAGGTGAGGTTGAGCAACAAGAATCTGAAGCAACTCCCACAGCAGAGGACGTCCCACAACAGAACAAAGCTGAGGTTGAGCAAAAAGAACCTGAGGCAACTCCCACAGCAGAGGAAATCCCACAACAGAACAAAGGTGAGGTTGAGCAACAAGAACCTGAAGCAACTCCCACAGCAGAGGAAGTCCCACAACAGAACAAAGGTGAGGCTGAGCAACAAGAAGCTGAGTCAACTCCGAATAAGACTCCTGAAAGCACCAAAGCAAATCCAACTAAACAGGTGTTTCTTGACGTGTCGATTGATGGGAAGCCGACAGGAAGGATCATTATAGGATTAAATGAGCAAAATGCACCTGTTGGAGCAGCTACATTTCGTGACATTGTCAGTGGAAAAGCGGGCATAAGTTATAGAAGGAAAGAGTTTGTAAAGATCATGCCAAACTATGTTCAACATGGAGGAATTAGATCATATGGGGTGGATGCTGAGCTTGCAAGCAGAACAGGAAGGAGCTTCAAGAACGATAAGTTGGTTGAAGAATTGGAGAGAGAGAATGAAGAACGTCCTGGCACTAAGAACTTGGCTGGAACCGTGAGCATCATAGTGAGGGATCCTTTAAAACCGCCGCCTAAAGTAAAGTTAGTTGCCAGAGAAGGGAAGCTTAAGATTGATCAGGAGGAGGTAGGGGTGGAGCCAAACGGCACAGAGTTCACCATAGCAACAAAGGACTCACCAGAGCTCGATTCGTCAGCATTGGTAATTGGCAAAGTGATTGAAGGAATGGATGTTGTGGAGAAGATTGGTCAGGTCAAGACAGTGCAAGAAAACACTAGTTCTCCATATTTTAGGTAAGGGAAAATACTAATTACTCCATACAAATTACACACAGAACTATACTGCAATTTCTATAGGCTTTTTTTTTTTTTTTTTTTTTTTTTTTTTTTTTTTTTTTGCCAAAAGATTGAAGCTAATACTAATTACTCCATACACAATAACACACAGAAAAATCCTCTTTTGGCTTCAATTTTTCAGCTTTACAAGAAAAAATTTCCAACTTCAAATTTTCAGAACGTTGCATTGAAGTTTTTCCACATTTTCCTTCTACATTTGAAGGTTATGTCTATTGAAATAAATTATCAGAGTAAACCTTTTAACAGCCCAATTAATCTTTCAAAAGGATTATAAAATGAAACAGTAATTAAGAAAGAGAATAGATCCTAAAGCTTTTAACAATTATATCAACAAAAGGAACCCACACACACAGCATGGGGGGGGGGGGGGTTGATTTCACTATAAATTTCAGCAATTAGTTTTCCGAACTGTTTGTCTTACATCATACTAGTCTTTACTAACAAAACTTGCCTGGTTCTACAAATTTCAGGGTGGCGAAGTTGATTGGTGACAAGAGAGCTGTAGTGGCTGAGAGGGGTTTCAACCGTCCTTACTCAAAAGTGATAATCACGAATTGTGGCCTGCTAGAATGACATCAGGAATTCACTCAGATCTCATTCTTGTTCATCAATTTTGTCATAAGAGTAATCAAATGGAACATAATACAATTTTGTTTCAAAAGTTCCATTGCAATTTTATGTAACTGACCACTGACATGGTCCCATAAATAATAGAAATCCAGAGACCATATACCAACCTAAAATTGATGCAGGAAGATGCATTTACCTACTACATCATAGTAAAGGTCAGAAATAGATGTATGTCTTGGAGATCATCCAGCAGCATCAGCTATCTTGGTCAAACTGTAAATATTATTTTGAAGCATGTTTCGGTCTTTTAGCTGGTGGAGACTCAAAGAGTTTTCTAATAGACGTAATTGGATCATCAACCTACAAAAATACATGTAGAATGGTTGTCATCTTGAACCAAATAGCTATTCTCAAAATCTGCCACAGACTAACAGAGAAGCACAATCCTCATCCCCTCCCCCCCACCCCAACCCCTCCGAGGCAACAGGAATAATTGAGGAAAAAGAGTAGAAAATGAAGTATGATTAAAGAAATGAGAATATGGGATCATCCAAAACCAGTTCATAGCTGCACTAGTCATGCAAATGGCTGATTCATACTTTTAATATAAAGACAGTTTCAGTAGTTTTTGCTCAATATGATAGTATTTGTAGAGAACTAGAATAGAGAAAATGGACAAAAAGAATTTGCATCACCACGTCAAATGTAACTTGGCTATTAAAACAGCAATTTTGGAAATGAAGGTTCTGTATTACCATGATAAGAGATGGAGATGGAGAAGAAGGAGAACCCTCCAATTCTGGAACTGTAAACACTTTTTCTTTCTGCAGAGCTGACAAAGTTTGTTGCCATCCTGGGGAAACAGTCCCTGTGGATGCAACCCAAGGGCAAAAGTGCCGGTGCTGCCTTATTGGATGAAACTCCATCTTCTTATTGGGTGATTGCCGGCTTATATCCTCATCTGGAGAGAACGAATTCATATGTTAGAAAGAAAGTGCCATCCTTAAAAGTTAAAACACTGTTAAATATAGAAAGAATGTGTCATCCTTAAACCACTGTTAAATATTGCTGGTTAAATTAAGCAGTTAAAAAACAAAAATAAGTATACACTAGCAAGATTATTTCTTAAGGCAGACAAGTGCTAGCCTAAAAAACTAGGGATAACAGCGCTGCGTCTATATTGAAAAGGTCTGAAAATATAAAGTTTCACATCTGATACCTCTATTCCCAATTAATCTCAACACTGCATAATTGATCATTCTTGTGCACTAGTTGCAGAGCAATCTCAGCAGATGAAAGTAATAACAGAAAACTGAAGAAGTAAAGAGTGTGAATAAAATGACACAATGACATAAATAAAATCCATAACTGCACATTTCTGACCTCAAGCATGACAGAGTGGGTAAAAAATATGAGTAAAAAAACAAAGCCCGCAATCTTTATCATCATCTACCTCCTTGAATCCTTATATGAATATTTGAGAGATTAAAAGGCAACTTAAGCTGCTCACAGACTAGGAAAGATATGTCCTTGTCTATACTTGTTCCATTTATTTCCCAAGTTCCCAAATGGCATAAAGATACCAATTTTTTTATGGTTCCTAGAATTGGAAAAGGATGATAGGGACTAGGGAGTAACACATGTCCCCTAGACTCGTAATCAAAATTGATCTTCAATTCAATTAATTGATAACTTTTGCAGCAGGTACTTTGTGAGTTGCGTTCTCCTACATTTGAAAATTTTGTTAAGGAAGGTTCAACCAATTTTCCATTTCAAACTTTCATCAAGTGCACTTCTAAAGAACTTTTGAGCAAAAACAGGATTAAGCAAGGTGATCCAATTATAGCATACTAGCTTGTTTATGCAATGGAAAAACATAGCAGGAAATCGAAAAGGCTAAAAGTTCCCAAGTAGAATCAATTCTTGGGAACCCGATCACTTTTACTCAGGCTTGCTACAGTATCAAAAAAAAATTGTTTTGCTTGGAAACTTTAGGGCACTATTTTTCCTCCTGACTAAAAAGGTCATCAGAGTTGTTAAGGCACCATTTTGGAGATACTTAAGAACAAGCACTGCTCAATATTTTAGAAGAGCACAGAGATCTTAGCAGCAAAACACACGTTCAAATCAGAGGATTTGCAAGAGGTGAGACCTCAATAGCATTTAGATTAAGTTACAAAGAGTGGATGCTATAGATTAAAAAGTTATATGCTGGCAGTCCTTAGATGGTGTTCTATATTGTTGCTGATTCTGTAGGGCCAACTCTTTATAGCACACAACTTAAAAGAATGCAGAATGCAGTTTCACATGTAGCTTGCGGAGTTGTGGGGGTCAATCTGAATTGATTTCTCATCTGCTCTTTAGCTGGTTTTTTCCTAGAACAATTTCCTTGATGTTTGCATTTTGGACCAGAATCATTTGGTCTAATCTTTTACACACTTTACCATAAAAAGGTCATTGTTAATTGCTTGTCTTCCTTTTGCCATCCTATAAATAACTATATTACTATATACCTCTCCTTTGAATCCAGGTAGAATATGCTACTTTATACTTGTCCATTTCTCACAATCACCCTTTTTCTTTTTCTCAGCAAGAATACAATTAAGAATAGTGTACATGTCTAGGTTACGTTGATTGGCTGAGTAGCAAAGCTCTCCCTTGGAATAACCTTACAGTCTAGGCAACCTTGCCTTTCACTTCAGGTAAAAGCTTTTTACTTTTTCCACTTCAAAAGTCCCCAATTCCAAGCCCCTCTCACTAAACCAATTAGGACTCAAGTTGCATTCAAAAGTCCCCAATTCCAAGCCCCTCTCACTAAACCATGTGTTTGCTAGGAACAAGACATGACTGTGTGAAAGAGTGAAATCCAAAATGGTCTCTCTTGCTATATTCCTCCTTCCATACCTCAATACTCCATGGAGCCTCATATGCATTACAACTTGTCCCCAAATTCCCCTTATAGATCTCCATCAACAAATAACTTATGTCACTGGAATTTCTTGTACCACATCATCAAAGTTCTCCCAAAATTGGCATTTCACGCTTACAGCATTTAAAATCTAGTTCCCTGCCTTCACATATATTAATTTTACAGTTTACCCTCATCAGCCAAATACTCTTTCTATAAACCACAAGCTCCTCCTCCATTATCCTATCAACTACAATAATTCCAATTTCTAGTCCTATTCAATCCTACATACCATAACTTATAACCTGAGGGGAAAACTAATTTGGCTCATAATTTATTTTACCTTTTAACCTGGATACACAATATGTTAATTTCTCTTCTCCTCATCACTTCCACAAACTTCACTAACTTTCGGTAAGGGATCCAATGGTCCAAGAACTTATCCAGATTAAGTTCCTACTAGAACCCTAACAGAGGCAGTGGACAGTGAAAAAATAGGCTAAAAAGTTAAAAGGGCCCATGCTTTCTGCAAAAAACGTTACTCACAAAGGTCACAATGGTAGAGATAGGGAGCTGAAAGATTAAGGGGGGTTTATTAATGAAGAAAAGATGAGAGTGGAAAAGGGTTCATAAACTTAGAATCACTATAAAAAGCCAAATTCTAAGATATTACATCACTTCACAAGGCATATGAAGTGGAAGTCAAACTAAATAAAGTCCAGGCAACAAATGAGAATTAGTCACTACCCATCAAGGAAAATTCTTCAACTTTCAAATATACTTGTCCTGCAAGACCAAAATTATCCAATCCCTTCTCAGTTCTACCTCCTTCCCTTAATACGATAGAAAAAATCATAGTTGGCCTACCTATTAATGGCAGCTAACATACCTAGAACAGAAAGACTGGTACGCTTGATCAACTTAATTTAGCAAGCTGTATAGCATCTGCTTTCCAACTGCCAAGGAACTTAGTTTCCTTTATCACAGGCCTATGAGTGACTAAAAATTGAGTTCAGTAGCCAGTGCAGATCTGTGTCAATTCCCCAGTCCACTGTGGACCAGCAATCTTCCATTGTACTGCAAGCCAGAGGTTTTCACCAGATGTGCAGTAGCCATGCACCACACATGAAGTGAGAACAGGGGGGAGGGGGGATTTAAGGCGTGCGTAGGGCTAGGGGACAGATCCTGAGTGACTCAAGACAAAGCATAGGATTAAATTTTATTCTTTCAAGGGAAAAAATGATAGAAATCATGATTATTTTCCTTATCTACGAAACTAATGTTTGATGAATTTGATCCAATAAGGCTTGTGGCAAACCTTTCGGTAAAATAATCACCATCTATAACAGAATATTTAGTTTAAACATGCTTCAAAGATTTCCACATGTTACATTCCTACATGAAAAATTATGCTAACCTAATAGAGATTAGTGAAGTGCCTGGAAGGGAAACAGACAGTGTAAAAACCCACTTGTATCCCACATCAAATCTAGTGTGTTATGATAACTATCTAATTTCAAGTGTACTACATCTAGAGCTTTTACCACTAGAACGGGTTTAGAAAATAGACCTAGGTCATGCCTTAACGTCTTATGGATGGTAATAGAGCTAGCACACTGTGTCAACAGAGAAATTATACTACATACTCATTTGCTAAGGCTTAATTTGATGTGAGCAAGAATCCTAGGTGGAAGATGATCCTTCGCTGGCATTATAGAAAAAGCAAGGTTAAGTAGACAAACTGCTAGGCCTGGACTTGTCCTATGAAGACTAAAAAACAATCAGAGGATATTGTGCTCTTTCTTGAATTGTATAGTTGTAACAAGTGCTCTTTCTTCTGGAAGTGAATTTGGACAAAGAATCCCAATGGCCAAAAACTTATGACGAAATAAATTACATTTGTGACCAATGTATGGATGTGAAAGCGTACATATAATACATGTTGCAGCTTAAGGATTTGATCCATTAGTATCTTGTATCAGATGAGCAAGAATGCTAGAGATTAACCAAGAAATATCATTATGATTTAGAGGCTTGAATCAGCCTGTAATTTCAGGTCTCTTCGCTACACAGGAGACCCAGAAATTTTTACGTTTGTCTAAGTTCACTTAGAATGAAGTGCGAGGAAAAATCCGGTAGGCGAAAGTCTTCTAAAAGTAGCAATAAAATACAGAAGACAGTGAATAACCAAACACAAACTGAAGAGGGAAGCAGTGAGACCAAAATAACTCACCAACACTCAATGTTGCCATGTCCTTTTGTGAAGTAGTCGTTGCAATGTCTCTTACTTCATTCTCGTTCTGTTCACCACTAGTTAAGCTTAATGTTTCCTGCCCCATTAAACAATGTTAAGACTTCTGCTAAAATTAAAATGCACTGTACCAGACAGAATAATCCTGAAACTTTTACCTTCCTCAATGCCGTACTATCTACAATCATCTCCTGTGATTTGGCAATATCGGCAGTTGAAGGTGTGTTATCTTGTGGCTCAGAACTACTTACACCAGAGTTTGTCTCTTCATTTTGCTTGTCCTTGGTTAAACCGTCCATAATGGCATTAAAAGCTATAGGTTCCTCTTCACCAGTACTTACATCTGATGACATGTAAGAAAGTCGAGTCCTTACATTACGACCAATAACAGGTAAGGAGATTGTTGCCCTGAAGTTCTGTCTAGTTGGAGGAGGTCCACCAGCAATTGTCAAATTCAACACTGTTTTCCTCGGTGATGCAGCTTCTCCATTTGCAGCAGAAACATCACTTTTACCATTGTTGGCATGATTTTCAATTGCAGATGTCTTGCTGCCAAGATTGCTTCCACCACCAATATCAGCTTGACCAACTACTTTAACCAATTCTAGGGGCCGAGGAACTGTTGCAAAGGCCCATAACCCAATGCTTGCCCCACAAAGCTTGCAATCCAATACAGTAGAATTAGGATCATAATAGAAACTGGAAGCCCCAGGATCGCCGTCTTCCCTAATGCTTTCATTGGAACCAGACATGGACACAGACAGCCTATTGCTCTGCTCATCAGCTGCTGCGTGAGACAAGTTGGAGGTGTTGTCATTGCTACCAGACAGTTTAGGCTGGTCCTCACAATCAACCATGTAAGGAAGCAATCGAGGTTCCCATCCACATAAACTTAATAACCTATGAGCCTGCACATCAGCCACATGTCATTGTAAATAACTCAACCTAGTATATTCAACATTAGAATACTGAAAAATAATTTCTTATAAAAAACAATGCATGCACATGACTCCAATTAAAATTACAGCACTACAAAGTAAGTATTGCACTTTCATTATTGGAAATATTTGTAGGATAGAGGGGAGAGAAGGAAGGTTAGTAAGCAGATGAGAATAGAGAAATGCTACAAATAACCTCTACTGTTGCTCTTTTAACCTATTTTGCATTATGGTAATAACTTGTGACAGGTTTAGGGCCTTAATTTATCCTCATAGTCCTCATTGCAACAAGAACCACGACAAACACCTAGGCTGACCTAGCATGTTTACACCCATTGCCAGGGTCTACATTACTCCTCCATTATCAATTAGAGCAGTAAGGCATAAGGGTAAAAAGTGTAGCATCCAAATTGAACCAGCATGCTAGCCACTTTACGGCCAACCTTGGATTCAGTCAAAAGAATTTGTAGCACCCAAATTGATCCAACATGCTAGCCACTTTATGAAAAATTATGGACACGCTTACAGACTTATAGCATAACAATAGTTTTATTCACCACCTACTTCACATGAATTTTAGTATTCCTCATATAGGTTGAGAAGACTTATAGATGTAATCTAAAGATATAATAACAATGTTAAAAAAAAACTCATTACTGTCACTGGTTATATATTTCTCTATTTTTCTCTTGTTTGCTTTAATTGTCAAGGTACCTTTACCAAATTATATCAAGCAGCACTTTTTATAAAATTGTTATTAGAAGGGGAGGAAGTAAACCAAACACAGTGCTAGATATACCTGATAGTACAAGTCAGCAGAAACAACTTCAGCATCATTCCCGAGATACTCTGTCCAACATGAATCATTAGGTGCTGAACCACATTCCACAGCTATTGACTGTTTGAGAAAGTGTTTCAACTGAGAGCTTCTCATGCTCTCAACAACTGAAGCTGGTATTACAGGAAGAGCTGAAAGTTGCAACAATGCAGAAGAACGCTCTTTATAGTGATCAACCAACACAGGTGCAGGCATAGGTGGAAATAATGCCAACTTTGCATCACAAGCATTGTCAATCCATGGACAAAGCAGCTTGTGTCCAGACTCCAACTTCAAGCTAAAAACTAAAGCTGCCTTCTCAACTGCCCAAAAGCAAGCATGAAAGGTAAAATAAGTACATGTTTGTCTATAATATTGAAGATACATGCTTTCTTCCTAGACAAGAAGAAAACAAACAAGGACCTAAACAATAACTAAAGGAAGGTAGCAAAGACAAAGAACATGCCTTGTTGCTGGTTCCAAGCTGAAGGAGTAGAAAATTGTAGACGTGCTCCGCAAATTTCACAGGCTAAGATGTCGAAATCTACATTAACCCAACCTCTCCTTGCACAATTCACAGCATCCACAGCCTAGTATGAACAAAGGTATTAGTTCTTACAGAAATCCATATTGCAAATAAGTTCACGTGGCACATATATTGTTCCAAGAATTCTTTTAATATATTAGTATAGATTTGAATAAGAAAATGGAAATATCACAAAATATACCAATTTGCAGCAGTTCATAGAACAATCAATAAATGACTGATAGAGAATCGAACCTTGGGTTTAGCAAACCATCTCATGGATTTGAATGTAGCTAACCTCCTCATAAGATCTTCCCTATTCCAAGGTCTACATGGTGGTGCTTGAGCTGCATATTGACCTTCACCTTTATCCCCTTTGAAATTCGATTCCGTTGCTGAAAAGGGGCGCTTCTGCCCTCTCATTTTCTGTCCACTTGATGAACTATTCACCAAAACCCCCACAAAATGAAGGGGGAAAAACCATTTAATACCAAAAATAATCCACAAATTACATTCAATACCTAGTTCTAACTCTTCCAAATAAAAAGCTAGGTAGTTCTTCAAGTATTAGCTAAATACTATCAATAATTTAATCAACTCTAATGCAACTGCAAATTCTCGAAACAAATAACAAACAGTTCTTACAACACAGCAGCTTAGCATAGTATAATAAGCTCAAACAAACCCCAATTCACAATAATAATTATCCCCAAGAACCCAGAAAACTTCAAGTCATATTTCATAGAATTCCCAACAATTCTAAGTTCATATAACTACATAAAATCAATTACACAAAAACCCATTAATCCCACCAACCCTAATAAGCTCAAAATTATATTTAATACAGTTCCCAACCATTATAAGATTTTAAAATATTGAAAAAAAATCCCCACAAATTAGAGAAAAGGGACTAATAATTGAATTGAAAAACATATAAAATTGGATTAAAATCAAGCATAATAATAAAAAAAAAAGTACCTTGATGAAAGAGGGAGATTAGATTTAGGAGAGTGAAAGAGTTTGTCCATGATACTGTGAAATCTCTTTTCTGAATCTTCTGCCATTTTTGAACTCTGGGATTTTATTGCTTTTTTTTTTTCTCTGTCAAATAAAGTAATAACCCTCTACAAGCGGGTGGGGTGATTAAGGGGATTTCGGGGTGGGTTATAAAGCGACATCGTTTTAATGAGCGATGTTAGAAGCACAAAACCTATAAATTCTCAAATTCAACCTAAAATCAGAAAACCCTAAAAAACACTCTCACGGTCTCACCTCAATTCTTCATCAATGGCAGCTTGCCGAAGCTGTAAATCCAAGGTACTCGTCACCGATTCCGTCACCGGCGGAACAGTATGCTCATCTTGCGGTATTGTCCAAGATTTCGACGATTACCAGCATACATTCGGCGGTGTTTCCGGCCCTCAAGGCACCTTTGTTCGTGTCGGAACTTCTGGTACCGGTAATGATTACTCTTACAAGGAAAGAAAGCTCTATGAATCCAATCAGATGATTGAGGACATCACATTTCGTCTCAGCTTCAGCGATACCCGAACCCGGGAAGTTAAATCCATGATTAATAAGGTAACTGATGGTGAATTTGGATTAGGTAATTGGTTTTCTGTTCTTGTTGGTGCTTGTTGTTACATTGTTATGCGTCAGAATGATAAAGCATTGCCTATTTCTGAGGTTATTGGGGCTGTGGGTTGTGAATTGTATGAAATGGGGAAAATGGTGAATAGGGTAGTTGGTTTTTTAGGGTTAGAGTTGAAGGAATTTGATTTGGTGGGTTTGTTGGAGAAGATGATTAAAGGCTTTTCTGGGTTTAGTGGGGTTGAAGAGGAGAAGATTGATTTGATGGTGAAACAGGGGATTTTTGTGATACAATGTGCTATTAAGTGGTTTTTGAGTACAGGCCGGAGGCCGGGGCCTGTTGCTGTGGCGGTGTTGGTTTTTGTGGGCGCGGTGAATGGGATTGAGGTTCGGATTGAGGATGTGGCCAAGGAGATGAATGTGGCGATTAGGACTTGTAAGTTGAGGTATAAGGAGCTTTTGGAAGCAATGGTGGAGGTTGCACAAAATTTGCCTTGGGGGAGTGATGTGAATGCTAAGAATATTGTGAAGAATGCACCTTTCGTATTGAAGTATATGGAGATGAAGTCGATGGAGGATCGAGGTAGAGAGAAATCAAAGTTTTCAGATGGGAGTCCGGGGTTTGATTTGGGTGATGTAGTTGAGGAGTGTTTGAGTAAGGAAGTTGAGTATAAAGGGATTGATGGTGGTGATAGTGCTGTTGATAATGGCTTGGGATGTTTAAATGGAACAGAAGGATTGGAGAATTTGAAGGTTTCACATGGAGAATTGGCTAAAGTTTACTCAAAGTTCAAGTCTGAGTTTTTGAATCGTAATTTAACGAAAAAGAATGATACAGTTGACTATGGAGATAGACTAGGTGGATTAGATGTTGAATTTTTTGATGAGTGGTGGAGTGGGAGGTCAGATATGTGTGAAAAGCTTTTGATGGAGCAGTTGTTGGAGAAAGATGTTGGATTGGATGTGCTTCCACCGTCTTATATTCGTGGTTGTAATGTAGTAAAAAAGAGAAGGGAAAAGATAAGAGAGGCTAAGAGGCGCATCAATAGCATTATCAGTCCCCCGATTGTTACATCCAGTAATGCTTTCCTGCATAATGGGTTGGATGCTCAACCACATAGTAGTGATGATATAAGCACTTTAGAAAATGTTAATAGCCAAAAGAAGAGGAAGAAAGGTCATGATAATATTGATTGGGAAGATTTTATCATTGAGTCACTCCTGTTGCATCAGGTGAAAGAGGAGGAAATCGAGAAGGGCCATTACAATGCCTTGTTAGGCTTGTATGTGTTTAAATCTGGTCTTGTCTAAAACGAGTTGTTTAGATTCAATCAGGCACTAAGGTGAAATTTTCTTAATACAGTTACTAGGCCATTTTTGGGGTAAATTGTATAGCAACTAGAAGATTGTGTTATTGTGTAGATGGACATATGGTGTAGGGGAAGTTTTCTGACAAATTAAGCTTTCATATCCAATTTATAAACAAATTAAGATTGTCAATATTTTTCTGTACAATACGTCATGTTTCTTGGTATATCTTTTGACTCTTTGCAACTGCTTACTGCTCTTATACCTGAATACATCATATCCGTTCGTCAACTACCAATGTCCTGAAAAAAAAATTCTGGTTTATTTTATTCCCAATCGGCATCTAACTGCTAGTTTTGCAATTCCTGGATCATTTGAATTGAAAATAGCAATTATGAAATTTTATTACTGTTGATTGTTTATTTAGGGCTTAAGTGTAAGGTAATACAGCTCTTGTTAGTTGTTACTCCTATTTTTTACTGCACATTTAAGGAACTTCAGAAAATAAGAACGACTTCCATGAAGAACCTGATATGTATCTGCCTCTTTCTCACTGATTGCACAACATGTAATACACAAAATAGGGAAAATATAATCAAAGGTATTACTGGAAATATAATACTTTTCACTCTGAGTAATCAATGTAGGCGACCACAGAGAAATTAAGCATGTAAATCATGATTCTAGTATGGCTTTTCCCCTACATAATTTCCTGTAGGATAGTACTCGCAGGTAGGGCTGTACACAATTTGGTCTGGACCGTAACCAAACCAGACCAAACTGCATTTTAGCGGTTTGGTTTGGTTTACGGTTTAGAAAAATACGGTTTGGTTTCGATTTTTTGGGAAGTACGGTTTGCGGTTTGGTTTTTCAAAAATTATAAACCAAACCAAACCGTAAACCAGTAAACCGCATTTTAATATTTTTATAATTTCTAAATAAATTAAAATAGTTATTATATATTATTAAAAAAAAATAAAAAATTATTAGAAGACTGTACGGTCAGTATACTACTATACTCTATACTTATTCTCAAATAGTTATTATATATTATGTATTATTTTTATTATGTGTTATTGTGTTAGCACTTAGCACTTGATTAGTTGGTTGTTATTTTGATTAAAACTTTGTTGTATAATTTAATCCCTTTGGCCTAATTATTTGAACTTTATTATAAATTTATTAATATTAGACAATTTTAGGAAAAAATGTCGTCTCATCATAAACCGCAAACCAAACCGCACCAAACCGCATTATTATGGTTTGGTTTGGTTTGGTTTCAATACTAATATGGTTTGGTTTGGTTTGGAAAATTGACCAAACCGTATTTTGCGGTTTGGTTTGGTTTAGACTCAAACCGCACCAAACCAGACCATGTTCACCCCTACTCGCAGGTAATTAATGAATTCCCGCTATCACATATAATCTTGGAGCATCCAACCATTTTGGTTTGCTTCCATACAACTTGGGTGTAGTGCCCACAGGCATATCCACTGCTACAACTGTTGTTATCGTAGTTATACCATTGCTTCTCTGCCACCCATGCTGCGACTGCATCCTTTGTCATCCACCGTTTCCCTGAACCCCAGAATAGATTTTCCCCGAATGGACCTAAACAATTAATCAGTTTAGAGTCGTGTCACCTCTGCCTTGAGTATATCTTGGCATATTTAGCAAGCAAATTTTCCCACTTCAGAGGCGACACCCCCACTGCTTGTCTGACAGCATTATGCCCTTTTAGGACCTCGTTTACGAATTCTGTTTGGCTATACTTTGCTTTAGCAGGTGTGACTTGGATCAAGATGATTAGTATTGAGATGGATAGAAAAAGTGGAGTTAGGATCTAGAAAGTTTTTGCCATTTTAAGGCTTTGACTACTGAATTATATGGATTATTTAGGTTTGATGTCTGTTGCAGATGAGTCTTATTTATATAGATTACAGAAATCTTAATATGATATTTCTTTTAAAGATAGTTTGAATTACAGTAATTTGATTGTAGATTGAAGTTGTTTGCTGAGCATTGTGCACGAGAATTCCCGTTTATATAATAGCTTAGCATTGGATATTCGAATCATAGCACATGGATTTTCCATTAGTTGATTGTAGCTTAAGCTGCTACTAGCAAGACTTAGACAAGTTTAAACAAAAATTAAGCAAGATTTAGAGTTTATGTTAAGGAAAATACCAAGATTTTCTTCAACCTTTAGGGTTATCAAAACAATAAACAGTTTTTGTGTGATGCATCACACCCTCAAATGGTGGTGTGAAATAATTGTCCAATTATTACTAAGGAAAATTTTTAAATTACCACCCAAAAATATATTCATTTTCAAAATAACCACCTGTTTAATTTTTTATTTTATTTTACCATCCCTTAAATTAAAAAACTACTCAGATTACCACCCATTTTAAAATTCCGATGGAATTCTGTTATGAGGACCCACCCAATGGCAAGTAACGGCTATGTCTAAGCATTACAATCAGCCATGTCTTCACTCCACCTCCCCCTTAAACCAATTTATTGAGTACAAGACAACCTAAAATCAAAAGAAAACAACTAAAAAAAACCAAGAGCATGTTATCTGAATTGCCACTACTACGGATCATCTTCTTCCTATCATCACTAAGAGTCGTTGGGTGGGGCCCACATAAGAAAAATTCACTTGAATTTTGAAATGGGTGGTAATCTGAGTAGTTTTTTTAATTTAAGGGGTGGTAAAATAAAATAAAAAATTAAACGGGGGGTTATTTAGAAAATGGATATATTTTTGGGTGGTAATTTTAAAAAATTCCTACCTATTACTAATTTACTAGTAATTTGTTTCATAGATACCTAGAAATGGGCATGAGTTAGATTGGTACTAGCACTAAGGCCACTAACAGAAATACTTATTTGTTCATGACAGGAGTTAAATACTGTTATATCAATGTTTGCTCTTCCATCATGCCATTTTTCTCATATATTGTCAGTCTAACTTCGCTAATATGTTTGCAGGTAAAAGTTAGTTTACTTTTGACGGGTCAACTACAAAGATTTTTAGTATGAGGAGTACATTTCACCAACTGCTAGAAATAATGTTCTTCCTTGTGCATGCCACATTCTCCTTCATGGTTGTCTCCTAGAGAGTTGTTTATATTCTGGATTGAGCCCTTTTTACCTTGGAACGTTAAGTGGAAACAAAATATCAAACCTACTGGGTGCAATAAATTAATTGCTGATATTGGAAGAGCATAAAAAACATTTGAAACTATGGAAAGATTGATGTTTCA